ATGGTGGTTAATATAGCGCATAGCGCGCTATCTCTTCATAACACATAGCGCGTGCTATGTAAGTAGTCGCCATGGCGCTATTGCGCTATTACGCTTTGGCGCTATTAAGTATTAATATCTAGCGGCAACTAGTTCTAGCTGCAGCGCTGTTAGGAGAGGACGTGTGACGCAAATTTGATCTAGTAGCACGCTATTCATCGCGCGCGACCTAATTTAGTGTTAGACGTTGTTAGTTAGTGTATACTGTATATTTATAAGTGATCGAAGGGCACAGTTGTCTGCTATAAAAGAAGCCTAACTAATGTTTTTAAATGTAAATAAAATATAGATACAAAAGTGTATATAATAGTGTATGTAAATAGTTGATTTTTATAATACAATCAAAAAACTTTTAAATACACCTTTATTTAATTTATAATTTATATTAAGTTTAAAATAACGTTTTCATCAATTATAATAAAAATTAATTAATTTTATTTCGTTTTAAAAAGTACATGCCTTAAAAATATTTGTAAGATTATAGAAAGTCGTAAACCTGAAAAGTATGAAAAAGCGTGCATTGGTTTTTCTTTACCGCTTTATTTTATTTTAGTCTAAAATGCGACTTATTACGAAATAATGTTCTTATATAGCACGTGGTCTATCCAATCAACGACATGTAATGTAACGTGCTACGAGATAATATAGCGTGCTGCAAAATTTAACGCGCTTACCGGCCTCCTACACGCTTTCTTATTAATAGCGCGCATAACATAGCGTATTGAATTAAATTTATTAAATTTTAATAGCGCTAGAAATTTATAGTTTATAGTCTGTAGCGTGCTATTGATTTATAGTCGTTTTAAACAACTTCAATTTTAACCGGTTAGCCGGTTACCGACCAGTCTGCTTTTAAACATCCTGTACGATAGACGCTACTCTCGCGCCGCCTGAGTAACTGTTATTTAAATCGCGCCAACCTATCATTCGCTTTCTAGCCCAACTATATTTTCTACAACTAATTGTTTACATACAAAACCGTTACCACTCTGCGGTAACGGCTTTTCGATCCTCTAAAACAATTGTTGCGTAATGACCTGTCCTTCCGAAGAACGAGGCCACCATCTTTTTTCTCTTTCAAATTATGAGGCTTAGGAAGGCTGAGGAATATATTATGTATCCACCGGGCACAAAGTTTCCTGACCGCTAAATGTTCATGAAGGATTTTGTGTACTTGACTCATACCGATGCCTAAGCTTGTGCTAATCTGCTGATAAGTCACTCTTTTGTCAGTCTCTATCATACGCCGCACAACACTGACGTTATCTTCAGTCGTCGCCGTAGAAGGCCGTCACTCACGCAGATCATCGGTTAGATTAGTGCGACCACGTTTAAACTCATTAAACCGGTTGTAAACAGTGGCACGAGATGGGCTTCCTCGTGTAAGGCCAATCGAAGTCTATCATAACTTTCTTGTTAACTTAAATGACATCGAAACTTATAAAAAAATATCGTACGAAAATTTTCTCGCGTTAAATTAAATGATCAGTTATATTCATGATGAAAAATGACAAATTAATACACAATAATATAGGCAAAGAGTTCCATTTTCAAAATTCGAACTTGTTCTTTTATTATATCGTTTACAAGTGGCCAGTTCTAAAAACTTTTAGTGTCGCTCTCGTATATCGAAGTGATTTTTGTGTGGGAGTAAAAAATAGCATGTAGCGATGGGTCGTTGACGGTTTTGCCAAACGTGGTAGAGCGACGCTGCTCTATGTTATGGTTGTTGCACGAATGAGTCGGCTCGACCGGGGAAGTACCACGCTCTCACGGAATACTAGCGTAAAATAGCAGCTTAATACTGCCGTGTTTCGTATGGTGAGTATAGAGATCCGGAGACCCTTTTTTTACTGGAAACGAAGCATTCCATCTTAGTTCTCAGGGTTGACAACGCATCTGCGTTTTGATTCTTAATCAGGGATAAATGTAGATGTCTAATGAAATCCACTTACCATCAGCTGGACTGTATGCTCGTTTGTCACCCTTATTTTATAAAAAAATAAACAGTTAACGTTAATACGTTGACAGGAGATCAACGGTTAATTCAGCTAGTTCGTTGATTCAACACATCGCTAATAGCATCCAGTCCCGACGTCATTAAAATGTAAAAAAATTACATAATCCCGTTAAAAGTATGAAGGGAAAATTGGAATCATAATATCGAGTGTGTTATTAACGGAGTAAATAGTAGGCAAAAGCTCTGTGTGCATTGATTCGTACAATACTCGACACACGAGCGCGCGTTGCTTTAGTTGTTGCCCATAAATCACATTCAATTTCGGATGCGTTATTTACGCGTATTTTGAAAAACTGCAAAAAGTGTACATCAGTATTTATATTTTGAACTTAATTATTAATTTTGATAAGTCTTTGAAAAATACCCCTGTATAGGTTAAATTATACATGAAATTCAGTCCAGCACGCTTTTTAAAAATAAGTTACTAGAAAACCAACTAATTATAATAGCGTTTTATGTGCCTACTTATAGTAGTTGTAGTGATTTATTATAAAATAAAAATAGAACTATAACGGATGGTTGAGCTTCTTTATGTTGAGTGGGAGAGGGCCCAATCCGATAAATTTGCCACGGGCGTCTAACGGTATAGTTACGCCACTGGTCATCGCGCGGATAGGTTAAGACGGTACCTCTTTGTTTTCATGTACGTGATATTTCCGGCATACTAGTTAAGTTCAATTAAATCAGTTATATTCATTTATATTAATAAATTTTTATCATTTTGTGTACAGGTTGAAAGAAACTGGCGTGAAATAGTGAGCAGGGAGTATCAGTTCCAAAGGCTGTTTTCAGAGGTATGTTATAATTTTTAATTATTTTCGATATGACTGCGAACAACATTAATTTTTACAAAGAACATTTTTTGTTGTATTTTAATGTTATATATTTATCAAAGGCAACTTATTGATTTCGATTCTTCGTTCGCCTACGTTTGTTGAGTGATTTGTTTTTATTTCTTATAGATTCAGGGTGACAACGAGCACGCAGTCCAACTGATAGTAAGTGGATGCTGTTGCACATAGACATCTACATTTATCCTCGATTAATAATCGAAATGCAGATGCACTGTCATCACTTGGACGAAGATGAAATGCCTCATTTCCAATAAAAAGGGTCTGCGGTTCTCTACACTCACCACAAGAAACACAGCAGCCATTAAGACGACACATCGAAAATAAACGCTTAAAATGGCTCCGCCTATTCCACCCCGCGCCCCGCTAGCGACACTCGTCACTCGATCCCTAAAACTTCAAATTCGCGCCAAATGCTCAATCGGAGGTCAACGTGCGATAAACAGAAAGGAACAAGCAAGCTTCTGAGTCGCGGCACACTATTTTTTAACGTTTTTAATATTTTGCATCATTTATTGTCTTGTTGTATAATAACATGTAGCTGTATATGTCATTATTGTTGTCGTCATGTTAATTTATTAAAAGAGAAATCAACAAAGTTTTTATTAATTTATATATTGAAATAATAACTAAGTCATGATTTTTAAAACTGATTATATTGTAACATTATAAAAACCCTCTTTAGGTAACTTTTCTTTTTTACATATTACCAATTTTTATTACGTAAGTCGCGTTTCTACCAAATCCAGTAGCAAGCAGTGAAAATAAAATGAAAGTAATTTTGTCTCCATTTTATCCTTGCAAAATTGGTCATCCTTTACTATTGTTTCCACTTTTATTTTATTACGTCTATACCATACTGCCAATAAGCATTTACATATTTCGGAAATATGCATCTGTCTTTGAACTTGCATAAACCAAACTGAATTTTTGTTCACCTGGATCTCACCACTTTTTTTTATTTACCCGCCAGAAATGCATTTTTCCTTGTATTATGACATCGTCAATACCGACCTTGTATGCAATTATGGGACACGTGATTTCAAACAGGGTGTTATTTCCGATAATATCTTCAGGCGTCGCTCCTAAAAATGGATGAATTTGTCTACGAATAAACTACAAGGGTCTATCTTTACGTCTAGTAAATTTGATATTTTTACTGTATTAGCGCAACTGTTGGTTTAATTCTTTTAACATCTTCCCAAAATCAGAGGTTCCAATAATAGAAAAAAACTCGTTAATCTGACTAAGAATAATATAGAGCACAGCCACAGCGTCTCCATTGGATTACTGTCCTAATAGTGCGTATTGCGTTGTATAACGACCAACGGAATGTGACCTCCACCGACGTACAAGGCCTAGGTTGAAGCAGGCAAGCTTATAGTGGATATAACAAGAGTGTGGAGTCCCGATCTAGATATACGGCCACTCTATGGACGTTGTGTATATAGGTAGCATTTAGTCAAATGTCATGTTTTATTCCCGCAAAAAAATAACTCCAAAATACAGCTATAAGCAACCACGCCTAGAAAACTTAACGTTTCAAGTATCATTTAACGTAGAGGAGCCATGCTGCAGTTATATGTATTAGTAGTTGTAGCACTAATGGCTCGGCTCGACCGGGGAAGGACCACGCTCTCACAGAATACCAGCGCAAAATAGCTAGCTAGCTTAATGCTGCTGTGTTTCTTATGGTGAGTGTAAAGAACCGGAGACCCTTTTTACTGGAAACGAGACATTCCATCTTAGTCCTCACGGTAAGTGACAACAAATCTGCATTTTGATTCGTAATCTTAATATATATAAATTACGTGTCACGTTGTTTGTCCGCGATGGACTCCTAAACTACTTAATCGATTTTAATCAAATTTACACACCGTGTGCAGTTTGGTTCAACTTGAGAGATAGGATAGTTTTTTTGCCCTTGAGTGCCCCACAATTTTTTTTGCGAATTAAGGATTTTTAATAGGACATGACAAAGGGTCGTCGAAAAGGGCAGAACGACGTCTGCCTGGCAAGCTAGTCTAGTATAGATATAAATGTTTATGGGCCACAGCTACCACTTACCATCGGGTGGACTGTGTGCTCGTTTGTCAACCTATCCTATTAAAAAAAATCATGCTCAGATGCGTATAATGGAAAGGATTATTTTATTAATATACGATTTTGTTCTCTATTCCCTTGTACCCACAAAGTACTAAGTGATTTGAATTTCGATAAAATGGCCAAGTTGCTTGAATCATACTGAATCTAGGTAGGCAGCCTACCTGTCTACATTCTACCTGCCTTGTTTATTTTGGTTGATTTTATTCTGTCTTGTCTGAATAAATGTTGATTTTTAATGTTTTATCAAATCACCTTAAAACTTCGAAAAATCCGGATTTGAATCATAGGAAAATTTTAAAATTCGGATTTCAAAAAAATCCGGATTTTGCAATCTCTATAGGCAGGTAATGTTCTTTATAACTAACTACAAACATACGTTACACTAAAATGCTATTAAAATATTTACAATGATATTATTTACCTTAACTTGTTCGCCTCCGTTATTCTAAGAATTTTTTTTTCAAATTGTTCTTTCTTTTTCTCCTATATTATTTTTTTCTTAGTATTTTTATATTATTATTTTATATATATTACCGCAAACAAATTATTTAGGCACCCACTTATACTAATAATAATTTCCTACTATAATAATAAACCTATTCTACAACTATAGCTATTTATAATAATAAAGGTATATCTATAAGAATAGAGAGTACAAGCGAACGACATGCGCAGGCCTGCCGTCGAAGAGGGCTATCGCCGGACTGGCCCGCCTGAGTATATAATTTCTATAAAACTAAAGCACCGTCATAAGGTCTAAATTTGCGTAGCGTCCGCAACGATTAACACCTATTAGAAATTGTCAGAATCTTAAAATATTTAAAAAAAAATATTGAATTAAGTAATCATAATAATGCGCAACTAAATTACAAATATTGACGTTATGAATATATTTGAGTGATTCCCAAGCGTATAGATTAAGTAATTTTGTTGTAATTTCAGCTATAGTGATTTTTAGAGGTGTTTTCGCAAATTATTATGACCGAGTCAAAATTATACAATCGTGTTTTTGAGCAAGCAAATTCAAGATAAAGACATGAATTTACCTATATCAAAATTTCAGTTTCGTTAGTCGTGTCATAATACCATACTACTTATTCGATGAAAGGAGGTGCATTTTCTCAAGGTGTCGTCTTAAGCTGCTATTTTACGCTGATATTCGAAATGGCTGTTGTTACATTGAATTTAGTTTCATCTTTATTTTATATTATTTTTGTGATAAAAGTAATATTATGTTACGTATTTTGACTGATGTGTTTTATAGTAAAGATTTGTATTATATTAACGGTTATTTAAAAAAAAACACGTTCCAATTTATTAACCTAGGACTACGAAAATAAGAACAATATGCTTTAGACATTATTTGTAAAAAAATCGTTATCATATATATCGTAGTAAATGGTACACGCACAGGCATTCACATACGTACACACGCATGTATACACAATACGCACGAACGCACGTGTTCGTGCGTTCGTGCGTATTGTGTACACAGGAACGCAATCATGAACGCACACGCACCGAAGCACACACTAGCAAATGCGACGATAATAGAATACTATATGGAGTGCTTACGAGCTGGTAAAGAATATGTATCAGATATTGGTTTGTTTAATTAAGCCTTTTGTTTTCATTATACAGGCGGAAGCAATAGAAAAAATAAAGGTAGCCGATATTAGAAGCTGGGTTGACAACCACTTCTCAACTGGAAATAAGTCGCACTTCAGGAAACTTTCTGTGCAGGTAACGTATTTATTTTACTAATGGACGGATTTAATGTCATGTGACATTCTCCGTCAGTCTACCCAAATGTATATCATACAAAATGTATAACATGAAATCCTAATTGTTGAAGATTTGAGATTTCTTTTAGTGTTGTAAGAAATTGTTTAAGGCCACTTTGATCTAGTGCCTAATTATTGTAATCTTACAAATTCAGGGGCCGTGGGATCGTATTATTTGTAAACGTATAATTTCTATAAATATGTGTGATGTGGGAAGAGTTGTTAATAATTTCCACACACTGCTTCTACGGCTAGATAGACGAAGTTTTAGAAAAAGTGATCACTTTAGAATTTCCGCATGCACTTGCGACCTTACAATAGTATTGTGTAATGTCACACTATTCAGCCCATTAACACTTTGAGGTCAGGGATACAAATGAGCACACAGTTCACTTAATGGTGAGTGGATATTGTGACCCCTAGATATATTAAGAATTAAAATGCAAATGGGTTGCAGGAACAAACGACAGCTTGTTATTAAGATAGACTGCCTCTTTATCAGTAAAACATACAAACACAGCATTACGCTGCTATGTGACCGGAGAAGGAACACACTGGCAGATAATACCATCTATTAAATATATTAAAAATCAATTTGTTTTTGATGGATGGTTAGCGCTCTCTGTCAATTTCACAATACGCGAGCAAACCGGGTTCGATCCCCGCCGGCACCAATGAAATTGTTAATTGCAATTTTAAATGCTGATTTACCACGTGCTCGGCGGTGAAGGAAAACATCGTGAGGAAACCTGCATTTCTGATAAATAAGAAAAAAAAATATTTCAAAGACATGTGAAAGTTCGCCAACACGCATTGGGGCAGCGCAACGGACTATTCCTTGCCCTAAAACCCTCTCAGAAATGAGAGGAGGTCTGTGCCCAGCAGTGAGACGTAAATAGGCTGTAACTTTACTTTTTACTTTACAATTTGTTTTATTATGCGGATATATTAAAATTAATATATCTGCATAATAAAATAAAATTGTATCTTACATGGTCTGAAGAGCACCCCCGCCCTCCCTTAATTACGAGTATAATCTCAGTCACCACTAAGCCTACCACCACATCACACTGTGGTGGCTGACCGCTAAGTCTACTTCATCTGAAGATGCCTCGTTTGCGAAACACATGTCGTATGGTTGAGTCTCGTCCGGACCGCGCCAACGAGCGGTCACGTCCGCCGGTCGTCGACTCCCGCCCGGGTGGGAGAAGTAGCGCGTCGCTTCGCAGTGGGTGCGCGCGCTGTTGTTCGCAGGCCAACTCGGCTTGCGTCGAGCCTTGAGGACGCCCCTGACCCCACCCGGGATGAAGATCACCCAACGCTGCGCATCACCTACACGCTGGGAAGCGAACTCCGAAGGCCCGGCGCGCCCAAGTGCGCGCGCCTGTTGGTGACTTCGGCTCCGCGTCGAGGTGCTCTCCGCGGGACCTTGAGATTGCTGACCCTTCGGCAGATTCCCTTCCCAGAGGCGCGAGACACGCCAACTTTTTGCCTAGGAATACCAGGCCTTCAACTAGAGCCCGGAAGGAGCACTGGAGGTCCGGAGCAGCTGGAACGCCCTCCTGTTGGCAAGATTGGCCCTGCGTCGACTCCTACCCTCGGGACTCCGCGGGGCTTCGAGACGGCCGACCCTCCGGTAGCACCGACCTGGTGGCGCGCAATACGCCAACCAAGATTGCCAACAATGCCGTACTGGTACGGCGCCCAAGACCGGCTCATTGTTATGAGCCGTGAGGAATACCCGGGTAATGGGGGACTCCCCGAGGCCCGATACCTGCATGGGATAAACAAAAGTAGTCCCATAGCAGACAACAATCAACATGTCGTATTATTAACGGTGGTCTTTCCTGATGTGGTGATGTTGGTATTATTGGTGACGGGGATAGTGTTGAGGGAGGGCGGGATGTGTTCTTCAGACTAGGTGCAATCTTACCATTATGTGCTTGTTGATCATCTTCTGTAATTTATATATTATCACCATCACTTTTTCTTTCAGGTTATGGGTCACTCGGCAAAGCAAGACAACGTAAGTACAGCCCTCACAGAAACACAACTGAAGAATTATAACCTCACTTACTTAGACGCTAAAAATCCTATAGGCGACTTCATCGAGAACGACGCAGACTTTATCAAGAATATAGACGAATTTAAAAACAGTTTGCCGTTTGTACACGTACCTCAAATTGAATTAGCACAGTGTTAAAATATAATTGTTTAAACTTAAAAAAAATGTTGCAAATAAAGATATTTAATGAAAAAGACAATAAAAACAAGACAGTTGACTACAGCAGCAAAATTTACAAGGTCACAAATCAGCAAGTCTCATGTTATAAATGAAAGTGGTGCTGCTAACTAAAACTGCCTTAACAAACCCGAATTATATTTTATTAAACCCTCTTGCTTATACTTTGTAGCTAAACATTATACGAAATAGAATACAAATCATAGACTTATTGCTTTAGAACACTGTAGATATCGAGAATTATATTCATTAAAATATACTTGTAATTAACGAAATGAGATTTATACAGTAAATAAGTTTGTGTACTTAAAATATAACAATATTGGTTATATAACATCTATGGTCACGGAATTATGAAATTATGTACCTAAAAGGTATTTTATATTTGAAAAAAATAATAGATAAAGTTGTTCACGTCATATTATCCTCAAATATTTATACACTGTTGTATAATTTAATTATTTATTTAAATTAAAGACGTTTTTGTTACTTAAATTATCTTTGATATCTTTAAAAACGTAAAAAAAATGTCTTTAAGATTTTTTGACTATAAAATCATTGAAATGAACAAAATAATATAACTCAACAAAGACAGCTTAACTGGGTTTAGTCTGAATTCTGATGGACTAATTGGCACATTACATTATCTTTCAAAAATACCTATTTGTCTTATTTTAACATGGCGATAAAAATTTAATTCAACTACAATAATTAAAATAATCCATCTCATAAAATTAGTTATTATTCTGACTTAATGATAGTTCCATTCAAACTATTTCATTAGACATTGTATAAGTAACAGCATATATTTGTACAAATTAAATTCCATAAGGTGTTTCATTCATACGAAATATTTTAGGTGCAGCATTTTAACGACCCAACGAAACCCAAAAAAGTGTGTCATACAAAGTTAAGGGGGAATTTAACCTCAAATGGCTTAGCAAGATCCTCTGTTATACCGAAAATATTGCAGCATTAATTTTGAAATAAATATATGGTAAAGTTGAGGATTAATGTTAAGTACTATGTTAGACGAAAACAAGAGTCCGTAAAATTTTTCTCGATAGAAAAAAAATCCAGTTACCTCCAAACTGAACAATAAACCGCTGTTATTCATAAAATACTTTAAATAAGATCATGAAACTTTGCATACTAACTGAACTAAATATAAAGCAGGGCTTATGTTTTTATTTTTTTTAATTACCATTATTTTCACTGTAAAAAGAAATTACCTAAACTATCGGCGTCCTGAAGTTGGAACCGGGCGGCAGGAAACAAGTTTGGAGGTAACTTTTGATTTTTTTTCTATCGAGAAAATTTTACAGAATCATGTTTTCGTCTAACATAGTACTTAACATTAATCCTCAAATTTACCGTTTATTTATTTCAAAATTAATGCTGCAATATTTTCGGCATAACGGAGGATTGCTAAGCCATTTGAGGCTATATTTCCCCTTAAGTTGACTTTTATTATTATTATTTATATTGTACGCTAGTATCGGATTGTAATTGAGTGATAAATAGAATGACCTTGCTTTGCAACAACTGTAGAATGGGCGGGGAATGTTCAGTTTAGATTTGTATTTGTTTTTCTAAATATTTTTTTATTTTAATTTTAAATTGAAATGTTTAACTTCTAAAGTGACTTACCCAGTCAAGTTTCAATTAGAACAAATAATTTTGTTGCGAAACAAACTTTTGTTTTATAATAAGTATTGACTCAACTGTTTTTTTATGAATAAATTATAAAGTTGAATAATTGTAATGTAAATATAGATAGATCTATGTAACACAAAGGATCAAATAAAACAAAATATCCTCATAGACATTGTTTTATTTCCTACTTCAATGAATCTACACTCAAAGCTCCTCCCTCTTCTTTGTTTAGAAAAGCGCATATAAAATCAGAATCGGAATCAATGGTTATATTGCATTCCTTAATTTTTCTACATAGTTACCACATTGGGTGCGTTTGGCAGAAAAAAGCGCTAGCAAGCGCTTGTAAGCAAAATGGCGATCGTAAGCGGTAAGCGCTATCAAATCGTAAGTAGCTATTTTCCTCTAGGACACGATGTTAGTTTTAACCGGGGAACCTAACCTAATTTAAATATATGTTTGTGATGTATTCATATTGAAAACTTACCAATCATGAATTTTTAATAACATGTATATGTTTATTCATGTCATTGTATTACTTAAAACTAATATTGCAAAAAACAACTTATAAACTCTACTTCAAAACAAACAAATTAAATAAGTAAAATGGCGGATTGTGTCAGCGCTACTGAAGTAGCAATCGTGTCCTGGCCGAAAACTATTTTAGCGCTAGTAAGCGCTTGCTAGCGCTTTTTTCTGCCAAACGCACCCATTGTCACCACACGATTGAAAATTCAGTCCAAGACGTAGTGATTATAGACTCTTGTTTAGAAAATCAAAATCCGAAAATAGAAGTAAAAAGAATCGTTAAAATTTATTATTACTGGCCAGCCAGTATATAGGACAGTGGCAAACTTACTCTACTTAATTATTATTTAAAAAAGAATAAATTACCAATAAAACAAAATCATGACTCTATATAAATGTATTAACTAATATTTGTAATGCATAAATTTTTATGTACTAGTATTTGGTCTCGAAATTTTGACAGTTCGTGACCGACACTTATATTATGCTAATGTCAGAAAGTCAAGTTACTGGGGCATATGACAAATCATTTATCACAATCTAACGACTACATACACATACTAACTTAATCATAGAATACTGTATAGTATTCTATGACCAAAGTATTACATTTATTGGGCTCCCTTATAGTCGGGTAAAAATGTATGGTATTTAAAAAAATCAATTACTTATTAAAACAATGTTTTTATTTTCAGTCAATATACGATCTCAATCCGACCGTCAAGATCTTGTATGACGGTACCCTGCTTCCTCATGTGATGTTGAAGCAGCACGTAATCCACCCCCAAATTTTCCACGTTTTCTCTATTTTCTGAGAGCATCTGTAAAAGAATATGATATGAGAATATAAGATACTCCGTCAGGATACTTACTGTCTGATATTTACAAGATAGTACAGTGGTGAAAAAATGCAAGTGAACACAACAGTAGATAATGCAGTAATAATTACTGTAACGACGATATAGAGCACCACTCATAAGGTCGACATCAGAAAAAAAAATATTACAAAACAAACCACAAATATAAACGCACGCTAGAACAAACCAAACCGGGTAGCCTTACCTATTTCTGCCGTCAAGCAGCACGGTATGAAGGATGAGCGCCAGTGCAATAATTACAGACTGTAATGAATTCCATTTTAATCCTGTCACCAACGACAACACATTTGTGGCCTTTTTTGTTTTAAGTTGTTATAGGTGTACATGGGGGAAAATAAACGTATAAAGTTGCTGCTTGAAACCACCGTTCTACTACCTTGAGGATCCATCCTAATCTCTGCTGAAGTGCTTAATAGCTAGTAACCATTGCACTGCTCGTAAGTCATCAGTCACGAGCAGCGCATGTTTTTATGTAGTAGAGCCATGCTGCAGCTATATTGTGGTTGCAGCACGAATGGGTCGGTTTGACCGGGGAAGGACCACGCTCTCACAGAACACCAGCGTAAAATAGCAACTTAATGCTGCTGTGTTTCGTATTGTGAATGAAGAGAGCCGGAGACCCTTTTTACTGGAAACGAGACGTTCCATCTCAGTCCTCAGGGCTACCAACGCATCTGCATTTTGATTTTTAATTAAAGATAAATATAGATGTCTTCCGTAGCCAGGAATCTTCTCGTCAGGTATACCTCAATCTCTGAAAACTAAAGTGTACAACCAGTGCGTGTTTCCAGTGATGACTTACGGATCTGAGACGTGGTCCTTTACTGCTGGCCGTATGAGAATGCTTGAGGTCGCTCAGCGAGCTATGGAGAGGGCTATGCTCGGAGTTTCTCTGCGTGATAGACTCAGAAATGAGGATATCCGCAGTAAAACCAGATTGACCGAAATAGCCCAACGGATTAGTAAGCTGAAGTGGCAATGGGCCGGCCATATAGCTCGAAGAACCGATAACCGATGGTAAAGAAAGGTTCTCGAGTGGCAGCCTCATACCGGTAGGCGTAATGTAGGGCGACCCGCCACTAGACGGAGTGACGACCTGGTAAGACATGCGGGAAGTCGATGGATGCAGGTGGCTCAGGACCGTGTTTGTGGCATTACTTGGGGGAGGCCTATCTTCAGCAGTGGACTTGTGAAAGGCTTTAATGATGATATATGATGATAGATGTCTATGGGCCACAGCATCCACTTACCATCAAGTGGACTGTGTGTTAATTTGTCACCCATATTCTATTAAAAAAATGTTGCGAATGTTTCACAATGTGGCAACCCGAAGATGCAAAACGGCCAAGTATGCGAGACGGCGCGCTCATGATGTGTAACATCTTTCCTCTTGCTTTCTCGCAATCTGCGGGAGTGATTACGTGAAAAAGAACGGGAAGTGTGTATCAGAATGCCGGGGAAGCTCGCGCTATTTGATTTGACCAATGAGAGCGAGCGGTGATAGGAAAGTGTGATGTTATATAAACTATATGTGTAAACTATATTAATAAATTTATTTAATGTTGATGAGTATCTGAGAAAGTACAAATCACATTGATAAATAAATGCAAGTGAGCAATAATGAATATTCGAATAAATATTTCAGTTTTTATAAATTTTGAGGTTAATGTCTGTCGCTGCTCAATCCATATTTTTAATTTTGATTTAAAAACGAATAGCTTTTTTCAGGATAAAACAATGTTAATATCGCTAATTACCTACCAAGGTGAAATGTCAGATGTAACATCATATGCGACTATTCTAAAGCTCGCTCGTTTTTCTTCGACTTTATTTTAATGCATATAATGTTGACAATATTGACATTGAAACCTGATCTGCGCATCGCCCAAGGCATTCGAA